CAGGTAGACTAATATCAAACCATGTAAATTATACCTGTTTCTAGTCCTCTGTCAAGGTCTCTCTGCTTTGCAGTGCCCTCCTCCTAGATAATGTGGCTCTTTCATACTTGCCAAAGAAAAAAAGAGAAAAGTTCTTATCAATCTTGTGTATTTGCTACTCTTAAACCCACAGAAAGTTTGTAGTCTTAAATGCCCAGAGACCTGTGGGCTCATGTGTTCTTTTCAGTCATTCAGACACCTGGGGATTGCTCTCTGAACTTTGGGTGGAGTGGAGTTAATAGGATTGATGGCATAAGCTAAAGCTAATTACTCTCAAGGAAAAACCTGCTGGCATATATGGGCGAGACCTTTGCCTGTACTTCAGTTTTGTATGTGCAGACCTTGCCTCTTCATTCTAACTCTTTATCTTCTACTCTGGACCACTCTTGATATTGTTTTTAGCTGATTACTTGCCAGTCCTGCAGACTGCAGGCCTCGGAGGAAGCTCTCTGCTGCACACATGAGCTGTGTCTCACAGAGGAGCCAGGGCTGTAACAACCATTCCTCCATCTGGAGTTTCTGGTGTGTGCTGGCAATGGGGTGAGTCCTGAGAGCCACAGATCCATCACTCTAAACTCTGCCCTTCAGCTCCTTCTCTCCTGCATCTCTTCAGCCCAGCGGCTCGGCAGGATGCTGAGATGAGTCAGCCTCTGTCTGTCCAATACAGAAGCATTAGGAAACAGTTTGTATTTAGTCAAGGCCACCCTTGTTTGAAACAAAGTGGAAGTGAAAGAACCTTTTGTATCCTTCAGCCCTGAGTTTTACTGAGCAAAGAAGTCTGTGTCCTTGCTGTGGCTGGATGGGCAGGGGCAGCAAGTGCACTGGCACAAATCCTTGGAAGCGGTAACAGATCTGGTTACGTGCAGTGACTTCAGGGGATTTTCCTCCTTTTGATTAATTGGGGTTTCATTTTCTTAAGTTTTTTTTTGGCGTTGTTGGTATTTCCCTTTTTATGGCTCAGATGCAGCTGTTTCCTCTCTGAGCATATGTAAAAGAAGGCTTAATGTTCTACTTCTTGAATTAATCTTCTTCACTATACATCACACTTCTGTAACTGACGCGAGAGTTGTTACAGTTTCTGCTCTCTGGTGTAAACACATTGCAGTTATTTCTTTTCCCATTCCTCCCACTTCCAGTTCTTTCCCGTCCCTGTGAGAGACACTGGGGAAAGCCAAGACATCACAAGTGCATTCAAACCATGTCTCTACTTACTCCTTACATTTCTCCTTACACAGGGAGAGGATCCCTTTGAAACAGTTGCAGAGATGGAGCTTTTGGTCTGCTTTCCCACAGGCTGGCCCTGCTGGAGCAATGTTTGCATGTGGTGCTCTTCTACCAGATGTTAACTCCCACCCCAACACCTCTCCTCCTCAGAGTTCTAGACCACAGCACAAGTGATCCTTCTCCTATTATTGGAAGTGAATATATTACATCTAAATGGTTCTGTCTTCATGTGCATGAGATGATAACATTTTCCCACAGTACACCCAGTATAAAACTTTATGGTATTATTGACTTGAGCATATCTCAGCCAGACCTTGGTGTTAGTGATTTAATGACCATCTCTTCTTCTCCCACCCCTCTTTCTTCTGCTCTATTGATAATTCTCATTTTATTAGAACTGCTGGTGCTCTGAGCTTTTTATTGCATTAATACAAACTTGTTTCTATGAGCACAATACCATAAATTATCTGCTGCCCGTTGCCATGTTGAATGGCAAGGCAATAAATACAAGGAAATTCAAACAAGTTAAACTCAGGTCTATTTGCCCTCTGTCTCTTGAGTCAACTTCTCTCCTTGAACAACTGTGCTAGACCATGGAAAATGAAACATAAATGTCCCCCAGCATGTTAGTACCTGTTAGTAGTTGGTGATGTAACTCAGAAGGGAACACGTGTGTAGCTGCAGTGGTAGGAGGGTGTTACATGGAAGCACCATCTTGGGGAAGATAGTGAGGTTTGGCACTGACATTTTGTTAGGTTCCTCTGCAGACTGGAACCACTCTTGCTGCTATCTGAGGAGGTTTATTCCCATCCTCTCACCAGCAAGGAAGTTGCTGGCAGTGCAGGCTTGGCAAAGTTCTCACCATTGAAAACAATGAAACAGCAAGACAAAAACACCCTATAAATCCAGGCAGAAAAAAAAAAAAAGTGGGAAGAGAGTGTATCAAGTTAAATTTGATCAGTTCCCTGTAATAATCAAAGACCTTGCATGGTATCTGGTGTATGTATTGTCCCATCCCTGTGGGATGAATGTATAGGAAATAATGGATGCTCAGTTACTACTGGTCATGTTCTTCTTGTAGTGTGTTATGGCTGGGGAACAAAGAGTTGCTCTGATGGGATTAGTATTGGCTGTGAACACAATGCATGGTCTCATGGAATGCATTTTCTCCCTGTTTGCGAGTGAGGGTCACAGTCATCAATTCAGTACACTTCCTGTCATATACACTGGTATTAAGATAAATTAGTGCCTGTGTGTCTGTGAAGAGCTGGAGGTCAGGAATTACACCAACGGATTTGTTTTCTTCATTACATGAATATGCAAAAGCCAACTGTACATCACTAACCCATCCTGCAACAGCCCTGACCACCCCCAAGCTCTCTAATGTCTCCTTGGTGCAGAGCAAATCAGAGCTGTTAGGAAGCAGGACACAAAAGTATGGTACAAGACAGTGAGAGGAGGAATGGAGGAGGAGCCATTGAAATAAAAATGCTTGGATTCATTCTAGGCCAGTCTTATACCAGCAGAATTCCATAGATTGCTCCTGATCCTCAGCAACTGGACTTGATATCTATCCCCTACAATGCCTTCTGCTCCTCTGGATCATTTAATAACAGAAATGATTAATGATTTTAAATAGCTTTAAAGGGAATGGTAGACAGTGGGGTCTATCTCCCATTCAAAAATGAAAGTATAAGTAGTGTAGGTGGAAGAATTGTGCTACAATATATTCAGTGGTACAATATATTCTCTGTGAGTTTATATCTTCACAATAGCATTAATGTATTACCTTTTCATACATTATGGGGTGGTATCTGGGCATGAAGAGGTTGGAGGACACAGAAGAATGAGAAAGGTGAAGGAAATGTTCTTGAACAATCTAAAATTACCCTAATAACAGTGATTAATTAATTCAGTAAAGGAAGTAATAAATCCTTTTACAACTCCTAAAGCTTGACAGACATCGAATTCAACATGGCCACTTGTTAAATCAGATCTCAGGCCAGTTTTAGGATAAATGCTCCTGGTTAACTCCCAGGGCCTTACTGTTATGGGGCTCTGGAACTGTGTTTCTTGGTTTGTCTTGCAAGTATTTGAGCTCTGGTGATGCTCCCAAGGGTCTGAGTAGGCAGCCTGCAGGAATTCAAGTTACAAAAGAAGTGATACATGCTGCAGTTACGTTCCTGCTGGTGACCCTGGAATATGCACATAGCACCTAGTTCTCATACCTTTGGAGAAGAGTTTGTGCTGAGAACTTTTAGTCTGTGCAGGTTTTATGAGCTGTTTACTCAGGCTGCTTGGAGCTCACTTAGGTTACAAACATTTGCACCTCCACAGTGTGCTTGGCTGGCTGAAACTGTAATGATAAACAGGTTACAAACAGCAAATAATGAATAGCAAATACTCCTGCCTGCACAAAGATCCCATTGCTCCTGTGTGCTGCGGAGTCCCCACATTAGAGTCCCACCATTTCTCCAAATGACAGACTGTTCATGGAAGCAGTCTCCTCTCTGCAGCACAGAGGAAGCTCTGTGTTTGCTAACACTCTGTTCCTTATGTAGAACTTTGTCATGCAGTTTCTTAAAGCAGAGAAATACTTCCCAGAAACCTGTAATGCAACAAGTTGGTTTTCATTTCTTAATGTATGTTATGCTGTATGGGTCTGACCCTGGTGACACCAGAGCTCTAAACTGCAGGTGTGAGTGTCCTACTCAACATCTGTGTGCGTGCCAGGTTTTACGGGATGTTTCTTGGCTCTGGAAAGATGTCTTAAATCTTACAATGGAACTTTCTGTGTGTTTTAGATTGTCTCCTGTCCCTAACAGTCTCACTTCTGTCTGCTGCTTCACTCCATAATAATGACCAGCATAATAGAAGTGCCACTTGTCCAGAGATGTTCTTCCCAGAAGAAAGTGATTTGTTTGAGTGACTGGCTGTAATTCTAATGTGGCATGTAAATGCTTAATGTAGAAGCATGCATAACGACTGCAGAAATACTTCCACACATCCATGAGTTTCTTTTCCAGGAGTTTTTATGAAATGCCCATCCATGGCAGAAACCCAAACTGTCAGGAGCGAACACTTAAGGAAGGGCAATCGTGTGAGTTGTGTGGGTTTTGTGACTCTATGGAGCTAACATGGATTGAAGCATAATGCAAGCTGATCTGAGTTACTGAACTGCCACCCCTGTGCTCTGCATGCTCACAGCCACTGTCTCCTTGGATAAGGCTATTACAGGAAAAAGAGTAGAAATTCCAAAAGTTGCTGGGAATAATAATTTAGAGACAGTGGAAGGAAATGAGTGAGCTTTAGGAGGTCCCCTGAATCATTATCTAATGTCACTGGCTTCCTCCCCTAACATGCTTGGTTCCCTGTAATAGGGTGGGTGCAGTGAGGAGATTTGCTCCAAGACAATCAAGGGAAAACAGCTTCCACTCTAGTGAGTATTTAAGCTCAGCTAGAATAAGATAATGTCAGAAATATCAGAGTAGAAAAAAATGAACTGTAGAGTAAAATGGGCAGTGTATTAAGCAGGCTGCAGCAGGAGAGAGGACCAGGCCAGTAATTACCTACCAGTGGTGTTCTGACTAATTCTTTTACTGGGACACACACCACATTTTAACCCTTTTCTTAACATTTAGTTCTGTGGAGGCATTGAGGAGTCCTAAAGCATTAAAACTGATTTTTAGAATGCCCTCCTGTAAACCACGTGTAAACATCAGTGAAGGAGATCTCACCCTTTCTAGCTACGTTGACTGTAGCCATCCTTTGTTGGGATGTGGAGCAGCCATGCAGGCTCTGGGCAAGACCAGGCTCAGGATGATCATTGGCATGGACCTTCTACACACATGGATCTGCTCCAGTTTCCCCAAGCCAGGCTCTGTGTACAAGAATGTGAACTTATGGTCAGGCACGATGTGAACTTGATTTCCCATCCAGAAAGATGTGTTGACTGGGTAGAGATCTAATGATTTGAAGCAGGAATGAGAAGCACACCTGGTCTTGAGCTCAGGCTCAGAGCCACAGTTAACTGTCTATCTATACTTAGTCTGCATCTGCTTCTTAACAGGCAGGCAAAACAGTCTGAGAGGAGGTGGAAGAAATAGCACTGTAACACGCAGTGTTTGCATGGTAAGCAAAGTTGTCACAGCTTTAAACGAGTTCCCCTTTACCAACCCTCATGATTTTGGAGGCATACGTATTTTTACACACCGTTTCTGACCCTAGCTTCTGTGATTCACAATATTACTTGTTTGAAAAAGCATGGTGCAGCTTGTTTAAATTTGGGCTGTGACAGGTTTATAGATGACTAGAATGTAGATTTTCTTTCTTCAGCAGGGAAGGCTTGGTCAGATTTGTCTGTATCAGCAGCATCCATGCTCTATACAAAAATGCAGATGCCTAAATAAAAGAGATGAGCATGATTTACGTGCAGATGACTGTGAGGGAATAGAATTCCCTCTGATCTCCTGCACCATCATCTGGAATCTCCCTTGGTTTAGGACAGGCTTTTTAAAATATTAATGTCTTGAATAATGCATCATTGTACATGTAAATGAGCTATTGGTATAACAATTCTGAGTAACTGGGTTAGGCACATTTCAGTGATTATTTGGCCATTAACTTCAGTAAACAGAAGAATGTGAAAAGAAAAAAGATATATAATTTCTCTATTATTTAGCTTTGTTTTAAATGAAACCCTTGGAAAGATGTATATCATTTTAATTTTAGTTCCAGAGGCTTTTATGTAAATTAATTGCATTGGAGAATTGGCAAGAACATTTATTCAATTTACAACAGCCATGATTATAAGCTTTACATTAATATAACAACAATTTAACACTGGCTGATAGATGGGACACAACCATGTAATTATCAAAAGTGAGCCACTTTCTTGATCTCTAATTAGTTCTATAAGCAAATACAGTTCTGCTGGAACTAATTGCTATATTATAACTGGCAGAGAGGTGAGTGCGGAACTTGAGTTCAGGTACTGAGCGTGGAGTGTTGCACAGCCAAAGATCTTCCTATTTTCTGATTTAATCAGATGTATAATTCAATTATTTGTGCACAGCAAAAGTGGGCACTTGTGCACATAGGAATAACCTTCTTTTTGCTGCAGTGTCCTTTGACTTCTTGAAGGGACAGCAAGCACCCAGCTCAGGGTTGTTTCAGGGAACACAGACACAGTGTATTTGCTGGGTAAGTTATTGCACAACTGCCACTTGTTCATGGCATCTCATATTAGCCTGACAGTTCTTTAGCCACAGAACTCAGTTTGCTCTCAGACGACCATCTTTCTCGTGACTTATTATTTAATGAAGCTAAAAAGGTTGGGAAGGACTTGTTTCAGTTACCATTCATAGAAAGGCAGGAGAATAACCCTGTTCTTAACAGTACTGGATGCAGCTTATGCTCATGGCACATCACCTACATGTGGTCTTTGTCCCAGAGTACCTGGGAACTGACCTTGTGTGCAATTTTGTAAAGTCATTTTTGCTCATTTTTGTCCCTGCACCATCGTATTTTTCAGTTTTTGTTGCCTACACCCTCTTCAGAAATTCTTTCTCTCATTAGAGTAAACTAATTTCCAAGTGCCAGTGCTTTGTTTCAACTGAATCGGAGCGATTGTCCCAATACTAATTGCTTAAGGGCAACTACCACGATCTATCAAGCTCATAGCTGGGGCAGCACTAATGCATTTAGTGGGGAGATTATTGAATTTATTAAGCATTCGGCCTGATGCAGCTTCTAACAAATGCATTTTGTGAATATGACAGTCCTGGCGAGTGAATTACAGACTCGTTACTTGGGCTGCAAGAGCCTTTTGAATAGAAACTATGATTCTTGTCAAAGCCATTAGCTCCTTTACAAAACAAGGGCTGTCATTTCATTAAGTATCTCTGCACATACCCCAGGCTCCAGCATACAATCCAGTCCCTTTCTGTCTCCCTCATAATTCCTCATGGAACCTGAGCTGTTTCTGTCCAGAGATTTGCTTCATGTGAGCTGGAGGCTGGTTTTGCAGGAAAGGTGCTTCAAATCTTACCAGTTGTAGAATAAGTTATCAGGTCAGCAAACAGAGCTGGGGTAAGCAGCATGATTTTTGTATTCCTTTTCAAGGGAGGAAATAACAGTGATAGGCTGTGATTCTTTTCAGGGTGAGCATCATTGCTGCTGCTGTGTGCATGTAGGAAGAGGCTGCTCTTGTTGATGCCTGACTCCTGGCTTGCACATCAAGAGGGGATGTTCTCTGGTGGAACTGAAAGGAAAGTAAGCGCCCCTTGGTTCTCTGTTGGCCTGTGCAATGTCAGAGTAGAGAGGAACTCAGTTGCTCTTTGTGCTGAGAAAGGAACTGAACAGACCTGGGCTTTTCTCTTTGATGCAGTTTGTGCAGTGGGGATCGTGAAAATTATGAGTACATGAAAAGAATCTAAACAATGCTGATAGGAAAGCTTTGAACATGAAAATAAAGTGGAATTCATAGATCTGATTCCTCTGTAATCCCATCTCCACTTTCACTCAGTGGTTCAGAAAAGCAGCACTGAATTCCAACCTTTGCTGTTTCTACTCTCCTTGGTACAAAAGCTTTAATGCCACTCTTTCCAAAGCATGCAGCGTGGCATCCACCCCTAGTGGTGAAGCAACCAGAGAATTCAAAGCTGTGGAGACCAGCAAAGGAACTGATTGTCCTCCCATTGAAGGCAGTGGCAAAACTTCAGCTAGCTTTACCAGCATGCAGCCATGCCCTGAGAAAAGAAACAGATTTCATTTCCCAGCTTCCAAAGGGCTGTTTTATAAACTGCAGAGGAAAAATAACCCACACAAGGAATTACAAATAATGCTTCTCCCTTCTCACCACCCCACCCCCCCCATCCCAGCATCTTTGTCACACGTTTTAGAGGTCGGCAGCACAGTCTTTGTTGTTGTCAGCAGGGTGTCAGGCTGCTGCTGCTGCACTATGGCTTCTCAAAACCACCTATTCCCCTTTCTGGTGTGTTTGTGTTTTCAAAGGAGGGGATGCTGAAGCAGAGCAGTGGATTGAAAGGCAGTTTCAGAGCTCCCTGCAACTGCAGGGTTTGCCTGGTGTTTCTTTTCTTCCCCACTTTCTCTGCTCACACTGCTGAGACCTTCACGGTGCCTGGCCTGGGTGCAGTGGGGGAAGCTCAGGGCCATTGTCTCATCCATCTGCTATGGCTCTTAAAGTCAGGGGTCTGCATGAAGCCTTGCTTCTCTCTCGTGAGCCAGCAGTAAAAGGAGCAGATGCTCTGAAGTGCTCATTGATCTCTCACTGTTAAATGTCACAGAAGGTTTAAGCAGCATCCCTCTTCCTACAGACCCTCTCAGGTGGTCTGGTCTGAGCTTTATGTGACTGTCAATAGATCTATAGTGTCACCATAGCCACCTCTTAGCTGAGGTGGATACAGTGTCAGAACATTCACAGAAGAACCTGCAGCCCCAGCAGTCTGAAAGACCTACTGAGGGTTATTTAAACAGCCCGTGATTGTACACTGGGTATTTGTAGCTGACCAAAGCAGCTCCATATGTAATTAATCAGGAATTTCCTTCTGTTTCCTCTGTAGCATCAGCTGTAGCATCTGCTCATGGTTTGCAGGGGGTATTTATTTAATTTTGAAATCATACACTGATTTATTCAAAAATAATTGCCACACATTAGAATGGTTGAAAAGCCAAAGATAACACACTGGGATTAGAAGAAAACAAAATGCAGCACTTGAAAAATGTTGCTTATCTTACCTGAATGTTAAAGCATCACCAAGCCTCAGAAGCAGCCTATTTCTGTCCTGTCTGTGATTTTCTTCTAGAAACACAAACTATACTCAGCAGTCTGGGCCAAGAAATGAACAATGAGAGAATAATCATCTGGTTAAGACCATGAAGGAAGAGATACCTTAGCTGTAAGAGTGAAATGATTTGGGTTGGAAGGTGGCCAGCAGGTATGGACCACTGCCAGAGGCCAGCTAGAGAGCCTGATGGATCAGTCATCTGATTCAGTGTGGCAAACTTCACCACAGGCTTCCCACGCTGAGGAAATCTATACCATCAGCAGCCATCCTACTCACTTTGTGCTTGACTCCTAGTTACCTAATGGGAATTTTTGCAAAGCAAAGTGAGGGAAAAAAACATCTGATTTTTTGTGTTCCACACAAACAGAAAAAGATGAGCACAATGCAGTCAGAAATTGTCTCAGTGTTGGGATCACTTCCAGAGAAATGAATGGGTGATTTTCAGTGGCAAATACTGACAGGTTTCCTTTCAGTCTGACTTTATCCACAGAAAATTAAGATCAGCCTGAAAATGAGAGTATGGGGAAGGTGGGTGTCTCAAGTTCATTATTATAAGTAGGTAGTTTTTCCCAATTAGAACACCAATGAATGAATTAATCCAATAACAAAGGTTTCACGAGGAGCTACTGTAGATACCTAGCTTAGAAAAAAGCAAGTGCTCTATAATGTCTGTAAATCTTGGAGCTGGCTTCCTTTCTGTGGTGCTGCAGCTCCTGGAAATAGCTAACCTATGGTCTGGATGAAGGAAATGTGGAAATATCAAATCCAGAATAGCTCAGAAAACGAACAAGAATCAAGACTTGAGGCAAGTATGTGTTTATCTTGAAGCAAAGAGTAATGTCTGATCAGTCTCTTAGATTTATTTGGGTAATTTTCAGCCAATTTTGATGTAAAACACCTACTGGGTTGTTTTTTGCGTACACTTGTGATAATGCACTGTCCTCCTGGGGAAGTGGAAATGAAATACATGGGCCTCATCAAATCCAGCTTCGGTGAGAAATACCGTGTTTGTGACTAGCTGTCCAGTAAAATCCAGCTGATGGTACTAACACAATAGGTTTTTAGTATGCAAGTGGAGTCAAAGAACAGGAACTAATGCTTGACCCAGCTTCATTTAACATGGGATATCTGGAGTTAATTTACAATTTGACCATAATAATCTGACACAATTGGGAACCTGACATTATTATAAAAATGAGCTTTGCTTAAACTGCCTTTGTTCTGCATTATACAGATTTGCCTTTTTATTTCAAAGTGCTTATCCCTCTTCCCAGGTAAATGCAATTTGTATTTTCTCTTGACCTTTATAAAACAGTGAATGCTGTTATATTTTTCCTCTATTAGTCCTCTTTATCGTTCTGCCTGTGAACTGTTGTTCAGAGAAGCTTTGGCTGCCCCATCCCTGGCGGTGCTGAAGGCCAGGTTGGACAGAGTCTTGGGGGACATGGTCTAGGTTTAGGTGTCCCTGCCCATGGCTGGGGGTTGGAACTGGATGATCTTAAGGTCCTTTCCAACCTTAACAATTCTGTGATTCTATGAAGGTCCTAGTAGGTAGCTCCACTCCTGGTTTGTGACATTTCTACAAATAATAATTGTCATTAAAAAGGTTTCATCTGAGCATTTCCAAGTCCTTTGCACAAATGAGTGAAGGAGCTGACTCCAGCCTTGGAGAAGTCTTATCACCCTGATGAAGAACAAGTAAATTATTGTGTCTGGACCAGAGAAGAGGAAATCATGGGACACTCTGTCCTTGAAACAGTGACATAAGCAGATCAAAATGTTGGAATCAGCAAGTTTTGAGAAACATGGGAATGGATAACAGCCAGAGAACAACAGGGCATGTGCAAGGACGGAGTTCATCCAGCAGACACAGTGAGGAAGGCTATTGAAGATCACCAGAGGACTCCCACGACCACCTCAGGGACTGTGTGCACATGCATCTCAAACATTTACATATAATAATGAGTTCTGAGAACATTCTGAATGTGCCCATCATTTCTTGGAAAAGCAATGCGCATGTATGTTTTATCCTAATAAACCACTCATAACGAAACCACCAGGCACACACGTAAGATGGAGCCATCCCCAGTGTTGCAGGAAAGGATGCCTGCTTTCTGAAACTCCAGACTGAGTCTTGGCAAGTTCTTTGTCTGAATTTCCTGGTAACAAAATGAGCTAAATAAGTTACATTATGATAATTTTGCCACGTTCATTTCATGAACAGAGGCAGTGAATCTCAGAGTAACAGTCCCCTCAAGGTTGTACTTCAAGTCACAGGGAGGAAGAAAAATAGAAGCACAAACCTCATTTTGTATTCTGTCTCCTCTCAATACACTTACAGTTTTTCTCTTTTAATTTGCCTTAGAAAGCTACTCAAGTGAGATTGCACAAGTAATTCTTCGGAACAGCCTGTGCCTGCTTATCGGTCTTACACACTGAGATTTCCCTCAGGTTGCTCTTTGCTTTCCAATAAGTATTTTTATTTATTGCTGTGTTAGTAGTAACCTTACTACAGGCTCTCACCGATGCTTTTTCTACAGCCTAAAGCCAAAAAATCTCTGGAGAGCCTTAACCACTGATACCTTCCTTCTCTAGTGGAGAGGAAAATACCAGAGGTTGAGGTTCTCATAGAAACCTTTGAGGTTATAAGTACAATTTTCATAGATCCATCTTGCAGTTGGATTTCACCTCTTAGAAAGGTCAAGATCAAGGTCTGCTTAAGCTAAGATTTACTTATACAGGACAGTTGAACTGTGTAGGGTGCCTCTGAGCTGGCAGCTGAGGCCAGTCTCCAGGGGAAACATTCCTTTAGGAAGTTACAGTCTCAGCTTACTTGGCATGCCCACAAAACAAGGAATATGGGACACACTGCACACAACACACGAACCAAAGGATCAGCAGCTTCCTTTTCAGAAGGTGCCAGGCTCATACTGCTGCACAGCATCAGCTGCATAGGGTAAGGTTAAAGTGAACACAACCCCTTTTGTCCTGTTCTCTGCGCACAGTTACGGCTGGGAACAAGGCAGCAGGAACTCTACTCTTTGGCTTATTTCTCAATGCAGATCATAAAGGATTAATTAACATTGTGTAAAGCTGAAAGTGTGCCCAAGGTAAACATCAAGATGCATGGAATTGCATTGAGATGCACTTTGAGTGTTATTTTCTGTGGCTTGGGCAGGGAGAATCTTCATTCTGCACTTGGAATTGAATATACAAACAAGGAGAACTAAAGCATAAGAACATTTTGTTTCTGTTATTTTTGAACAGGCTCAGAATTGACTCAGCAAAGCTGCACACTCTTTCAGGCTGGCGAAAAGACCACAGGCACATGAGCACACATACACTACCTCTTAAAGCAATGTCTGCTTTTCTATTATCCTGGCTCA